GAGAGAAAACACTAGGTCACAACCTATTTCAGAGAAAGGAGCAGGGCCTCTATTTCTTTTATGTCTTGGAACCAGGCTTTGTGTGGATAGGGGACTCAGCACACTGCTGCTCATGGGGCTGCCCCTACAGGGATGCTGGGAGTGGGTTGGTTGTCAGGAAGAGGGGAATGCTAATAACCACTTCCATTCATCAAGCCCCCATAATGGGCTGAGAACACGAGAAATATTGTTTTAATTGTTATAAGGCACAAAGTACAAAATCAGGGCCGTGGAGATTACATAATGCTCCTCTATCCACACTCAGAGACTGATCTGGGATGCAGAATAAGACTGTGTGATCCCAAGGCCCCTGTTATTTCTTCTCCAGCACACGTTTCTTCTAAGATATAGCTAGAGAAAGTGTGCACAGCGTTGGACAGTGAGGGGAAAAGTGAGAACAAGTTTGGAGTAGGCAGACATTTACACAAGGATGCCAAAGTAATACCTAGGTGTTAAATGTATGTCTTCCTCAGTCATTACCACACAAGGTAAGCCTCCGGTTTTTATCTGTAAAGAAGCTAAGGTACAAAGAGGTTTAAACTTGCTATGATGTCAACTCTGAAATTCTCTCCATCGTTTTACCAAAAGACTACCCTGGAAACTTGCCAGACAAATTAAAATTTCACACTTTCATGGGAAAAAAAATTATTTTTAAGTCAAGTGAAGATAGTGTTATTAGTCACCTCCTCAAAGGAGACAACCACACAGATGAATGAAAAACTATAAGTGCTAAACTTCTTAAAGCAATTGAGACTCACTTCACATTTAGTATGCTACTATTCCCCTTTTGGGGGCCTTCCAACCATAAGTACAATATCAGTTGGTACAACTTACCAGAGAATTCACAGTAAATGGCTGATCCATGTTGTTCTGTCTACAAAATAAAGATGTTCACTGTTTCTTCTCAATCACTTCATCTGTTTCAAAGACAAAAAAACAGAGCTAAGTGTATTTTTTGATAACCCAAGTCTCAAATCCAAAGCCCAGGGTTATTTCTGCCTCAAAGAACATGAACACAGTAAAATAATTTATATAACCTGAGTATTCAGAGAGACTGCTGGAAATCTGTTCCTGTAAAACCAAACTGAGCTGTGTAGTTAGCTTGTTTGGTTAGAGCGCACCAAGGTGAAGGGTTCGGTTCCCCGAATCAGCCAGCCACCAAAAGAAAAGAAAAGAAAAAGAATACCAAACTGCAGGTGTTTATGGTTCCTTGAAGCAGATCTTTAAAGCGCAGGTGTGAAGGGAGTTAAAATTTGACTAGCACCCAGTATTCATCTGCTGGGTATTATCTTACTTAGAAAGCTATGAAAGCTTACAAAGTAGGTTGCCTTTCTTCAAAGGGAAAAAGATCATAGTGGTTAACAGCATGAACTCTGGGATGATGGATGTTTAAACCTGGAGCCAGTATGCATTTACACTCAGCCTTAGAGCTGTGGTAGGCAGAATCCTAAGATGGCTCTGTGATTCCTGCCCTGTGGTATCCATGGGTTTGCATAATCCGAATCCCTTGAGTGTGAACGAGAACCATAATCGACTTCTAACCAATAGAACATGGCAAAGGCGGTACTCCCATGATTACCTTATGTGACATGGCAAAGATGAAGAGATATTGTAAATATATTAAAGTCCCTAATCAGTTGATGTCAAGCTAATCACAAGGGAGATTGTCCTTGGGGGGACCTGACCTAACCAGAGGAGACCTTTAAAAGAAGGAGACACTCCCTACTGATCTTGACGACTCAGGTACCACAACCTTCACAACTGCAAGGAAATTAATTCTATCAATAACCACGTGAGCTTGGAAGGGGACCCTGAGCCTCCGATGAGACCAACACCTTGACTGCTGCCTTGAGAGACCATGAGCAGAGGACCAAGTTAAGCTGTGCTCAGACTCCTGACCCATAAAACTGTTCATGGAAATTTATCAAGCACTAATAAAAAACTATGCTAGCAGAGTGTCTGCAGGCAAGTTATATGGTATTTCCACGCATCTGAAAAGCGAGAGAAGTAGTAATCCCTATGGTTGTGGTAAGGATT